CAGGTTATGTATTGCAGACAGGTTTTGTGGCTTTAGGCTTGTTACAATCTGATGCCTGGGTCAAACGATAAGTACATAAGAAATAAAGGTCTTTTTCTGAGGAACCGGTATCGTCCTCGAAAGTGTTCGATACTCTTAGAACAACAGGTCAGGGTGACACTGGTTCTTCTTTCAAGGAAAAAAAGTGAGGTGAAAAGATAGATGTAGGGGAAAGTGGGACGGGAGGGAAGGGAAGTTTGGTGCATATATTACTAGTGGTTGTATCGTAGGTGTTGATGTGCTTGGTGTTCATGGTGATGATGGTAGTAGTAGTGGTAGTAGTAGTAGTAGTAGTAGTAGTAATAATAGAAGAAACAGGCTTACCCCCTATCCGGTCCTTGTTCCTCCTCGTTGGCCCGTTTTCGTCTCGTCGTTGGTTTAGTTTTGGTGCCGCGCGGCGAGGACTGGATCGTGTCCGCTCCTGCTAGGGCCTGTTGATGTTGCTGGTAGAGGGCAGGTTATCGTCGTTGCTGGTCTGGTATCTGGTATCTGTGAGTGTATTGGTGTGTATATGTGTGTACCAAGATGAAGGTATGCACAATGTATGTGTATGTGTTTAGAAGAAGGGGCCGGTCCTTCTGGTCCTCTTCCTCCTCCTCCTCCTCCTCCTCCTCCTCCTTCTCCTGTTCCTTCGCTTTTCAAACTGAAAGAAGAAGATGGCAAAAATTCTTGATGAAAGAATTGCGTATATAGAAGTAGTGTGTCACCATGTAGTGTACACACCCACATACCCACACCCACACACACACACACACACACACACACACACACACACACACACACACGCATACACACACACACCTGCAAATATATACATTGAATTATCGGAGGAACTCGAAAAACCAGTAATGATCGGTATTTGTGATGATGGTAGGATGATTTTGGAGTGGCCGATTGGGAATGGAATGGAATCGAAAAAGAGGGCGAACTTTTCAACGATACGAGAAAAAGGGGACGGTCGTGAGCGATATTGAAAGGTGATGATGGTGGTGATGGTAGAAGAAGTGAAGAGGGGAAGTTTTGAGGGGAGCATGCTGAGGGAGGGATTCAAAGAAGAGAATAGGATAAGGGGACAGGGACTGGTATAATCCAAACAGCTGTCAACTACCAAATTACTCCATATACCTGCTACACACCTAACGAATCATATTGTCAATCCATTACTATTTTATTTCCAAATTCGTTGATCATCTTCTTCACTTTTTCCTCTTCCTCTTCCTCCTCTTCTCTTCTTCTTCTTCTTTTTCTTCTTCTATCGCGCAAATGCTGCGATTTGTTGATGATGCTACTGCAACACCAAAACATTAAATTTCAATTTATAAAGAGACAAAGAAAAATGATTGAATTTGTTGGGTGTATGTGTGTATGAAAAAATACTCATGTCATCATTATTATCTTTTCCGCTATCATTACCGTTTTACTACAACTTCTACTGACTGCTATGTCATCGTTTTCGTAGTAGACAAATTTACTACCGTTTCACATTGATTTCGTGAGGCTAAGCTCTACTCACCTGTCTGTCCGCATCTATTTGTTATTGTCATCAAAATTTTGTATCATATTTGTGTGTATGTATGTGTATGTGTGTGTATGTGTGTGTGT